TTTCTCATCTACCAATTGGAAATAAAAACCATTGTTAGTTGTTGTAAAGATTTGTAAAGATTAAATAATATAGCGTTGTTAGAAAGATTAAATGAAATTTATATAAAGTGCTAAGGAGAGTTCCTACTACATACTAGGTGCTAAATAAATACCAGTTATTATTAGAATTATTATGATAAAAGGGGCCTTTTATCATAATAATTCTATGTAATTATTAATGTATGGCCATGTAAATGCAATATGGGGACCCCATTCTGAAAGTCTAATCAGAGTTATCTGTTTAACCTCTTCCTGCAGTCCACAATATCCCACTGACCTCTGGCTTACTGCAAAACACCAGCAGAAGCAGAATGAACAAGTACAGAAAATTGATTAAGTCTGGACATAGAAGGTCTCCATACTGAAATACCAATGACAAACAAAGCAGTGAGACTTCACCAAGGTAGTTAGAATCCAGGCAGTATGAGCATCCTTGAAGATGACATTTGCAACATGTGAATCATCCAGTCAGCAGAAGTTGAATGTCCTTGTGCCAAGATCTGTTCTGGGCACCGAAAACTCAGCAGTGAACAAAGAGACAAGTTCCTCTTAAGCTTTTGAACTAGTTAGGAGGGAAAAATTAGGTGGAGTTGAAGAAAGTACAGAGCTGATGCAGTGCCCTCCCTCCCAGGATGCCCTCAGAGCCTTCTCTGACTCCTCTGTGACCCAGTTGTATATCAGTCAGCATCAAAGTGGCATTTATTTTATTTTCTCATATAAATTCCCAATCTTTTCCTCCTCTCCAATCCCACTGACACTACCCTCAGCCAGGTCTTCACCCTCACTTGCTTTGGTTACTAGACTAGTTCCTTATCTGGTCTACCTGCCATTGATCTCAACAACCACTGAAATGCCCCTTTCTACTTCATCTGAAAAACTTCTACTTAACCTTCAAAACCCCAATTCACCTGCTCCATGGAGTCACGCTCAGAAACCTCCTCGCCTCACATTCTAACACTGGTAAAACTAATTATACTTACTTCACAATTTATTTGTGCTTTGCTTTATTGTTTTTAGTGTTTTGTTTTGTTTCAGAAATGAGGTCATCTCAATATATTGCTCAGGCTGGACACTCAAATTTCCGAATTCAAGCCAACCTCCCCCCTCAGCCTCCTACATAGCTGGGACTACAAGCACACACCACCATGTCAGGCCACATAATTTATTAATTTGGTTAAGCTTCCAGAATATCACTGCTATACTGTGACAGAATCCATTTATTCATTTGATAAATGGTTATTAAATTTGTACCCTGGACGAGGTGCTGTGGTAGGTGCTGGAGATGAAAGAGTGAATGAGGCAGACTAAACCCCCCATCTCAGGGACCCAGCAATTCTACCTCCTTGTCTTGAAGATGGAGGTCATGTCTTGTTACCTGAGTGCTCCTGGCCTGTGGCCTGTGTTTGGGGTTTATTGAATGTCAGCCACATCACCATAATTTGATCCAGAGAGAGGAGGAAAAGCTGACTTTGGCCAGGCCCAGCCCACCAGGTTCAATAACAGTATTAGGCAAATTCCCTACATCACCCAGTGCAGGGAAAGGTCCCTTCTTCCTTTCTCTAATATGGAGAGGAGACAAATATACATCCTCGAAGGATTCTTAGTGTTTATCCCTTTATCCCACTGTTTTTAATTATATGTGGAAAAAAACATCCAGTTCCCTTCATGGCAAGTCAACATTTTTTAATCTTCGTTTTAAGGTAAAATCAGTCATTTTGTATCACCCACAAATATTTTCTTTAACTGTTATGCCAAAAAAACTTTGAATGAAACAATTCCTAAATTTTCCCCTCAGGAGAATTGTTATCATCAGAGCAGACTGTATAAGCATACAGATTGAGAGATGATGCCAAGATCACAGGACTCTACAAGGTTTAAAATTTAAAATTGTTGCTCCTTCAACCTAATGGCTTCTGGATAATCAGCATGACCATCAGATACGAGAAAGAATGGGTGGTGCCGGTAGGGGAGGAGCTACTTTCAGGGATCGTGTTATTAATGAAATGATTATTATTACTAAAATAAGGTGTAATAAGGCTATCTTAGTCAGCTTGGGCTGCCCTAACAAAATACTGTAGATGGGGTGGTTAAAACGACAGAAATGTATTTCACATGGTTCTAGAGGTTGGAAGTCCAAGATCAAGGATGCAGCAGATTCAGTGTCTGGTGAGGGCCCTCTTGCTGCTATGCAGATGCCTGTCTTTCTCCTTGCATCTTTCCTGGTGGACAGAGATAATTGTTCATGCCTCTTCTGGTAAGGGTACTAATCCCATTCATGAGGGCTCCATCCTCATAACCTAATTACCTACTAAAGGCCCCATCTCCTAATACCATCAATTGGAGTTTTAGGCTTCAACAGTGGGACACAGTCACTCCACAGAAAGCATTATTAAATAAGCATAAGAAATTATAAAAGAACCATATAAAGTAAGAAGGCCAGCCTAAATAAAACTTCAAAGCAGTAGAATAATAATGTCTTACATTTTCACATATGTCATTTTCTGCCAGGCCATCAGTTAAATGAGTACCTGAGCCACTATGTGCCTTACCAGAGCTGTACTTTTGGCATGATACAAATATTGAGAGAACTTATCAGAACTAGGCCTTTATTTTGCTTCTTCTATTTATTTTAGGATTAACTCATTCATTTTGCGCATTTATTCAACATTGTTAATATATATTATATGCCAGCCATTGTATCCTAGGCCTTGAGGATACAGAATAAAAAAACGATCATCCCTCCCTGTTAGGAGCTTATAGTTTGGAGTGAAGACAGACAAGCAAACCCTCATAATCCAGGGTCACATAAGCTGTGCCAGAGTTAAGTGTTGAAGACTGGGATCTCTCAAGACAAGCACAGAGTCTGATGAGGGGAACAGGGAAGGCTTTCTGGAAGAGGTATGAGCAGCACTAAGGGAAATCCAGAAAGGAAGTATCAGGACAGTGAAGGTACAGAGTGCTAAGAAAACTTAAAGCACTTCAGAGAGTGACACATTGTTGATACGGGTGTCAAGGGGGGAGAAGTGTTAGATAGAAGTAAGGGCTGCAGTGCCTGTGTCACAGGGTTCCCCTTTACCAGAAACCTTTGGAGAAGGTCAATCTTGATGTCAGGTAATCATAGGCCTCTCCTGGGCCATCCTGGGAACATGACCAAGTCTACACACCCTCCACGGTCAACAGTGCAGAGAGGTATTGGTATGCTCTATTCAGTACCTTGCCTATGTCTTAGAACAAAGCAAGCATTCAACACATTTCAGTTGAATGAAATTTTAAGATAAACATTTGGGATATTGGTCCTGGTTTCATCTACTTTTTCAGCATTATGTTTTAATCTGATGTTAGTGTTTTTATCTCTAAAAATCTTTGAAAGAAAGTAGATTATAAGTAAGTTAGGTAAATGCATTTTTTAAATATATCTTCTTGCTTTATCCTCACAACTCAGTAGGTAAGTAAAAAACAATACTAAAGTGCCATTTAAAAAATAAGAAAATTAAAGACTTGTTATTCTGGCCAAGAAGGAGTAGCAAGGACTGGTTTTACCTGAAAGATCTCCCAGCCAGAACAACAAAAATACTGGAGAAAATGTATGAAACAACAGTTTTGAAGACACTGGATATCAAGTCATAAAGGCTAGGAATCCCTGAAGGGTAGAAAACAAATAAAAAACCCATCACTATTCAAGGTTCTTCCTTGAGAGAGGCTTCCAGGCCATGGAGAAGGCAAGGTGAGTCAGACAGAACCCAGTGTCTCCCTGAGGTAAACAGATGAAGGTAAGAGTCAAGGGAGTAAGTCTGACATTTGAAGAACAGAGTACTGGAGAGGAGAGAATTGTACAGAGAAAGAACTCCAGTGATCTGCAGAGGGGCTCCCCTGAGTATTCAGCAAAGCACTGATCAGCTCATGCATGTGAGGAAAGTATGCTAGGCCAGAGGTAGAACCATCTGAGAGGATTAGAGGGAAGATTACCCAGAGTTCACACAGGGCCAAGAATGCTGCCTTCCCACCCACACTACCCCTACTTCCCCCAGTCAGACTGGAAATCCTCATGATTCACAGGGCATTAGATAAAGTACCCTGAAGGGTCTTTCCTCACAAACAGGGTGAAATTAATGCTAGATTAAATGCAGCTCTACACTCACCTAACAAAGCTTAAAAGCAATACTTGAAAGGATCCCACCGAGTTTTAAATAACTTAAAGGCATCCCAGAACAAAGCTCAAGAAGATCTGTGGGACTAAAAACCTACTCAAGACCCAATAAGATAAAATTCACACCCTGTCAAAAATTATCAGGCATGAAAAAAAGCTAGAAAATACAACTGATAATGAGGAGAAAAATCAACAAATCAAAGGAACCAAGAACTGACATATGCTAGAGAATTAGTAGACAAGGACATGAAATCAGTTGGTATAACTCTATTCCATATTTTCAAAAAGCTAGAGGAATAAAGGCATGGAAGATGTACAAAAAAAACCCAAATCCAACACCTGGAAGTGAAAACTACAATTTCGGAGATGAAAAATACACTGAATGAGATTAAGAGCAGATTTGAACAAATATGAGTAGAGCATCAGTGAGGTCTGGAACACCTTCAAATGGCCCACTGGAGGAGTGGGAAAGGCCTAATGAAACTGGAGTTCTCAAAGGAGAGGAAAGAGGGTAGGGAACAGAGGAAACATTTAGTTGCAATGAAACCAGCAAGAAACAGGGAGAAAACACCAAGGCATATCTTAAATTACTAACAACAATGAAACAAAAACTCAGCATATCCCTAACTTCCTTTTCATTATATAACAAGTGGGTCCATTCACAATGGTCAGACTTTATTCATACTTAAAGAGGTTATAGAAATGGATTGGCAAGGTATGGACTGGGAGTGAAAGAAGGAGGAGAAATAACTATCCAGGCATGAAGGTGGAGATGCAACCATGGAATCTTTAATAAAATTTTCTAACACTTCATGCACCTGACCAGTGTCACCAAGACCATGCTTCCGAGGGCAGTGAGGATACCCAACGTCACAGAGCATGGAGCCAGCACTTTGGTTCGGGTCACTGTCTCACCTACTTTCTTTAGTCTGCCTTCTTCCTCTCAGGTCTTAATTTTTGACTTCTTGGGATTATTATCTTGGTCAGTGTTTTTCTTCTTATTCTTTTTCAGTCACTAGATTTTCTCTTGCTCTGGAAAAAAAAAAAAAAAAAAAAAGCCGTGTGAGGAGGGTAGTATATGTGGCATTTCCAAAGCTTATAAGACAAAGACAATTATCAATTATCTTTCCTTTTGCTCATTTGGCATTTGTAAAGTAGAAATTCCAGCTACTGCTTCATCACTTATCATTTATACACTGGAAAATGCTCATTCATTCATTATTTATCTGATGAGTATCCTCATTGATTTGTTTTTTCTTAAGGAATCTTTTCATTTCTTAGCTTGATTTTGCCTCTGTGATTTCTTATATTTCCATCTTAAATAATAATCAGAAGAACTATTGGTAGAAATCTAGAATGATATTTACTATCAAATTAAGTGTACTTTTAGGAGTTTTCCTGCCTGCCCTACCTGTCCACTCCACATACACCTAAATATTGTCTCCACTGAAGTTGAAATTCTTAAAATATAATATAGATTTTATTTAACTAAAAAGTATTCTATACCCTATTATACACAAACATCAAGCAAGACCTACCGGAGGGTGTAAAAACAAGTAACATTGACACTTCCCGTAGAAAGTCCACAATCTAGAAGCAGAGTTAGGAAAGACAAAACTATACAAAATTCAAGCCAAACCATTCTAAGTACTTCTTTATTAATAGGTATTTTTCTGAATAGTTTGTTCAGATACCAAACCAAAACAAAACAAAAACATTTCAAGTTACAAAATTATTGTTCTTTGTTCGAAATCAACTCAACATTAGTTGAGGCAGTATTCAGGCCTGGACTCATGAAATCCAACATGAATGTATGATTTTAAATAGTGCTCTTAAAGTTTTAGTCTTAACTAGTATTATTGTATGTAAACATACACCAAAAATATATAAAAATTATTAGGGCTATATTAAGCTTATGAAACTTAGAAACATGCTATAAGTCAGTGGGCCAAGAAAAATGAGCATCTTAGAGCCTAGAAGTTTTGACATCTGGAAACAAACCTTGCTTTAAACAATACGGGCACTACTTGTTTATCTGCTTATCTTTTTCTACTTACAAAATAATTGTTAGAAATGGTTGTATCTAACAAATAGTATTTTACTTGTTCATAATACATTATTCATAGTGATGTATAGTCTTGACATAGTTGTAACCATGAAAGGCAGGCCATGCAGGGAAAGATACAGCAGTTTGCCTTACAACTCCTTCTTGACCTCCTCACTTTCCTAAAAATTGCAAAGGTGGAGTAAATAGCGGTAGTGTTGCACTAACTGAATATAGAAAAAGGAAAGCTGCCAAGGAGAACTATTAAATGTATTTTATAATTATTTTTTCTTTCCAATTCTCTGGACCAGTCACAGCCAGATCAATCATGCAGAAATCAGAAACCGTGGTTCAGATGACTGAGCAATCAGGGTGGCAGGGCTGCCGGTCCATTTGTCAGACTTAGCCAGACAAGGACAGAGCCTAAAGGAGCTCAGGGGAAGAGTGAGCACGAGTTATGTTCTCTGGCCTTGGCAATGGAGGTAGAATGTCAAGGGGCAAATGGATGTCTGGGAGAAATGGGAGAAGAGAAGCACTTGAGCCTGGGAAAGGAGCCATGAACAGTGGGGTAACTGAAAAGTGTCTGGGGACATTTGTGTGTTATTTCTGAAAGAAAAAAAAAAAAGCTAGTTGCAGGAAAATAGCTTTATTTTCATTTCTGAACTGTTTTATAGGTGATTTCCATAGAAATACTTTTCCCCTCTAAACAATCCAGCATACATAGTCTGAGGATTTTCTCCTTTCTATCCTAGCAGCAGTGTTCATATCCTAACACTCCTGCAGTTAAAAGTGTTCTACTCTGCTTCATCATCTACGCCTCCTTTCTTTCCTTTGTTATGAATGCTCTGCCTAGCAAGACAAAAGATTCTTTCTAGAAATAGCAAAGAGATGGAAGTGGAGGAATGAGGGAAGGAAGAAGGGAGATTGGGAGGGGAGGAAAGAGGAGAAGGAGAATGAAAGGATACAGGAGGAGGATGAAGCAGGAAGGCGTGGCCTATGTATGGCATCTTCGTTGGTCTATTGTTGCCTTTCTTTCTCTGGGTTGGCCTTGCTGATAGCTGCAGCCTAGGTAGGTGATAGCCTGCTGCTGCTGCTGCTGCTGCTGCTGCTGCTGCTGCTGCTGCTTCAGGCGCTCTTCACCATTGTGATGCATTAATGAAGTGGCGCTGCCCCGTCACACCTCATCAGCAGTCCTGTGCAGGCAGAATGAAATCACTCCTATTGACCCCCTGGCATATTTATAGGCTCTGTCTTTCTGCTGAGACTGGTAGTTATCACCTTCCCTTCCCCGTGTTGTGTTTATTCAGCAGCATGCTAAATCACACCCGGGCACAAGTGGAGCATTCATCAGGAACCACGAGCCCCTCTTTCAGTCTGCCAAACCTATCCAATTACTGAGGCTGGAAGAGCCTGCACAAACCCTTCTGCCAGGCAAGTTCTCTTGTCTGCACCCTCTAAAAATAATACCTTCTGAGCTCCGCACGCTTCCCTATCCAATCTTCACATTGACTTTGAACTGGCAGAGCACTCATTTATCCTTCATTGGCTTTGTCTCCGAGACCCCCCTTTTCTTCTTAAACAATGAGAAAGAGATGCTGCATTTCTTTCTAGAGGGGATAGGGGAGGATGTGCGTAGATTCACTTCCCATTCTTCTCTCTATTTTCTTGGCTACCTCTTCAGATGTGCAAGTTGTACATTCAAGTTCTTCTGAAGGGCAGCTGCACTCTGGTCCCATGCTGCCCTCTGTCTTTCTGTTTCTTGCTAAAGATGTTACAGAGTTCTTTAACCAGTAAGTTGGGAGAAACTGTTAAAATTACTGGAAAAATTGTGTCACTTCGGTTGAAAGTCATGAGAGCTAGATCCAGGCATTCCTTTAAAAGTTGACAGATGATGGTAAATTGTTTAAACGTATATATCTCTTAACATATATATTAATTTGTTAGGAGTTTTGGTTTTTTAACAATATTTTTACATTTTCAACTTTTCTTAATGTATCTTATTTTTTAGATTAGAAAAAAAGCAAAGATTAATAGTATTAAAGCTAAATATGTGGCTTGCAATGCTTTCTGAAGCTTATTACAATGGAATATTTATGATTTAGGATTTTTTTTTTAATTATGAGAGATAGAGTTGTGTAACAGCAACAAAACCTACCTAAGACTCAGAAAACCCGGATTCTTGTCCCAGCCTCTTTGCCTCTAACTAGAATTGTGACCTTGTAAGTCATTAATCACTCTGGGCTTTAGCTCCCTTATCTATGGTTCTGTCTAGAGCTAACACATCCATACTTACAAGCATAGGACCGAACAAAGGGAGCCAGACCAAATGATCATTTGATTAATAGCCAAGCTATTTGTGAGACCTGGGACAAAGGTTTATTACTTCCCTTATCCCCAGAGACTAATGCATAATAGCTGGTAAAGCCACAGGAGTAACACACAAAGCATACGGAAGACACCTAGATCAAGCATCAATCAACCTTACAGGGTGTGCTTGTACATACTTAACGAGTTCTAAAAAAAACAAAAAAAATTAAACTTATTTGTAGCCTTTGCCAATTTCTGTGCTGTAGATATCCCCCACCATGATAAATTTCAAGCTACCAACTTGATTTCACCGATGGAAGAGCTAGAAAAAAATGCTAAATAAATTCTTAAGAGCTCATACAAGGGCACGCCCCACCTCCTTCCAGAGATCAACTGGGCTTTGAGTGGGAAATGGCAGAATTTTATTGAGAGCCAGAGATATAAGATGAAGATAGTAAAGAAAGGGAGCTTATCTTAATAGAGTTGTTTTGAATACTTCTCAAAAGTGTCATAGCAATATCTCTAACAACTTTGAAAAAAGAGTGGGAAGTATTTTGATGCCTCCAATCTGTCTGGATATGTAATCCAAAGACAAGTTAGAAGAAAATTTCTTTAAAATTTCAAAGTAAATTTAAAATGTCAACTTTGCATTCTATTTTGGGAATATCTGGGATGATTTTAATACAAAATAGTATAAAAATAATAATATAAACATTTTTTGCAAATTGGAAAAAAAGCTTTCGTATACCTCTAGCATATCAACATGTAATTTCAATAAAAGACTCAAAACTCAAACCACAACTTGAAGGATTTAGAAAGGCTTTTCCCATAAAGGAAAGAAGAGTGGAAAGGAAGGAGAGAAGGAAGGGAGGAAAGAAGAGAGATGGGAAGGGAGGGAGGCAGACAAAACAAACTGTATAAAAACACTATCACAGGGAAGAGATGATTTGAAAAGTAGATGCCACAATTGGGAAATTCTTGTTATCACTAAGCTCACCATCACCCTCCATGGCAAAGAGGTTCCAAATTTCTGAGCTCACTGGCTCACTCATGAACACATTCTCATTTAAGTTATTGCCTATTTAGGCAAAATTTGAAGATCAACAGAGGAGGTATTATAAAAGCCATGAAAATGGCTGTGTTAACAGGAGTAAGTTGAGAGACCACAATGATGGTGGGAATCAAAAACAGACATACTGAATTATGAGGAGATAAGAGCTTTGGTTTAGAAGAAATTAATTCCCTAATGGTATGAATATGCTTAGAGAGGAAAAGTGAGCACTAAGCTAGAGGCCTTGCTGCCTCAGTTGGAAAGGGAATATTTTCAATAATCTGTACGAATGGGTCAAAATGTTTCTGAATTGATGTTGGACCATTCACTTAAATCTCATAAATATTCAGGGCACATCTGTGAGTACAAAATCCCAAGTGGAACAGAAGTTGATGTAAGAAAAGGGGCAGGCACAGGAAGTGTGGTCAAAAATAAAGATAAGATCCTCACCCTAAAGAAGCTAAGGATATAATGAGGGTTGATAAGTTGCTATCTAAAGTACAAGGACGAATGACAGCTATGATAAAAGTTAAAAACACAATGCTGGAGTAATAAAATCCAGTGGGGAATTGGGAAATGCACTGTGACCTGATTCTATTTCTATTCATAAATTCCTTTTTTTCTTGTAAGTGGTATATTTTGCTTACGCAGGAATAAGGTAGTCATTTTTATTTCAACTAGATACATCCAGCTTCACCACATTTTTTCTTTTCTCAAATATCATTTAGCCATGAAAAAAGAACTTTCTGTCTTACCAGCTAAGTCAAAAGGAGTTTACAAATAGCCTGCCCTTCTGAAGACCTTGCAGACCAATTCTTGGCGATGAGCTCACAGAGTTGTGTGGTCTGAAAACAGTTTCATATACTTCCCAATGCTGAAGTGAAGATTTTGTTTTCAGGTTCTTGCCATGAGTCTAGAGATCTATATATATGGAAAACATTTTTTTTCTACTGAGGGACATAATCCAGAACTTCACCTTTAAAAAACTGTTAATGTCCTGTTGAAATTTTCTGTAATTTTAAATTTTAATAACGCAATTCTAGTGTTTATTACTCAAAACTAGAGGAGCATACGGATGCTGCTAAAAAACAAAAGTCAAAAACCACCACCACCTGGTCCACAAGTTGGTTTACCTGGGAATTCTCTACCCTTCACATAATGCCATTTATGTCACTCAAAGCCTGACATCTTATAGAAATCTAACAAATTTGATCTGTTAGTCAGGTGTATAGCTAAACATCCAAATATGTTAAAATTCCAGGCGACAAAATTTTTAGCTTTCTTATAACATTTTCTTGGCACCACAGCTAAGGACCCCATTCCAACCCATCTCAAGATGTAAAGCCAAGGATAGACAGTTTATCACCCCTCTCAAAACTTCCCCTAAGGTGAGGTTGTGATGGTTAATAAATAAAATCCTATAATACACTGAAACCATCCTTAAGCACTATATAAGTGTGAACTTTTATTATAGCCCTGTTCCAATCTGCAACTCCATAACATTCTTTTCCCCTAGTTGTATATTTCCTCAAACATGGGTCCTGCTCTAGTTAGGCTACTAATGAAAGATTTGTTTACATTTGCAGGTCTTGCAGAATTCTAAAGAACAAAGTCCAACCATCCCACCCATATTTTAAAGAATGAGATCTGTGTTAACACTTAAAGACATTTTCCACGTTGACCTCATGAACCCCAAAAGAAGGATGAAAGAAGGCTGGAATTAATGAACTTAGGGAACCTGTAACACTCCAAAAATGTTTAATGCAAAAATGTGATATTTTTGGTAGGAAATTTCCATTGCTTTCAACAGATTTGGGAAGGGACCCAAAAGGTGACTAAATGCATCTGCATTTAAACCAAAATATCATTGACCTTACAATTCAAATAGAGCTTAATTGGGGTATTTTCTAATTTTTTTTTCCTGAAACATACCCCTGGTCTTTATGTGGTTGCCAATACTTTATGTTGTAAGGAAATTTTTATATTTATACATCTTAAATTTTAAATTTTAGTTAAAACATATAAACTATTATCAAACCCTATCTCAAATTTCAGTTTTATTTAAACTATTTTGGGCTTAATACTTACTACCATTTAGAATTCTTATGATTCCCCTTCCTTTATACTTCAATTTCTCTTTTCTTTTTTTTTTTTTTTTTTTTTTTTGAGATGTAGTCTCGCTCTGTCACCCAGGCTGCAGTGCAGTGGCATGATCTTGGCTCACTGCAACCTCTGCCTCCTGAGTTCAAGCAATTCTCTGCCTCAGCCTCACAAATAGCTGGGATTACTGGCACCCGCCACCATGCCCAGCTAATTTTTGTATTATGACGTAACACATCAAATCCATGACCTGCAAACACAGTGGAAATGCAAAGGTGATTTTATTCCCTTCACCTTCCCTTCTTTGCTCTCTATCCCATAAGAAATATTATTATGTTGAAAATAGCACTAAGTCAAAATCAGTGTGATCACATCTGGTTTTATTCACTATATTCAGAAGCATAATTTCCATGGAGGAAGAATAACTGGTAAAAGTAAATAAACAGTCAGCTTTTGATGTTTCTCTTAAATGCAATAATTTGTTCTATAATGAATTTATGTTCATAAAAAGTTTAAACCGTACATAGACATACAGTTAGAAATTGTTAGTGTAATATTACTGAAAATGACCATACTCTCAGACAATTACTTTATTTGTGTGCCCCAGGTGAAAATTTTTACACATTTATTTGAAAAAGTTTTTACATAAATTCATTTCTTTCTCATCGATGCTTTTTTTTAGAAATACATATTTTTTACAAAAATACTTTCAAAAATATTTCTAACACTCCTGTGTTATATAATGTACGTGGAAAAGAACGCTAGTAATGCAAAGGCTTCATTTGTTATTTTAAATTCAACTCTTACCTCCTCAAAAACAAACTTTTAAAGTTACCTCATGGCTTATATCTAAAAATAAAAAATCATTATTTAAAAATTAAAAACAATCAACAGCAGTCCCTTCAATAAGACAAGGAATAAAAACTGGTTTCTAATGACGGCAATGATACAGATTTTGAGTTAGCTCAAAGGTAGAGTTCAGATCTCTGGTTTCTGATTACACAGACATTAGATTTATTGATGTTAAGAAATAGTTGCCTGTGTCATTTACATTTGGGGATCTAGTAATAGCGTTTTATTGCTACCTAAGACAAGACCTGCACGTGCATGTTTTCCCAATCTCACAATGAATGAGGATCTGAGTTAAGGCACCTGGGGAGCAAAGGAAAGGATAATAAAGCATCTTATGGGGGTCCTCAAGGGACTAATAACTCCAGGTGGTCTTAGAAATCATGGAGAATATCCCATCAGGAGCTCTTGGGAGGAAGCCAGGGATATGCAGCTGG